GCCGGCTCACCCAGCCCTTTCCGAAATGAGTTTCCCCCTGCCGGGCCTTGTCAGAGTTTACTCATGCCTTAATCACCCTGCTCTTTGCATAATAACATTTCTGTGGTTCCTTCTTTTTTTATAATTCCTCAGTTTTTCTGGCCTTCGTTTCCTTTCTCTCTTTTTATCTCACTCTCGTTTGTGTTGCTTTATGGCCTTTTTAAATCTTGACCCGGCTGCAGAAAGCTATCCATTTGCCCTTTTAGAGGTGTTAGAGCAGCTGGGTGTAATGAGGGGAGCGCTGAGCTGCAGTTGTGTTTATGGATGTTGTTACAAGTGAAGGTGTGATGGTCTGTGTTCACATGAGGCTGTGATTAAGCAGCTGTGTTGAGAGGCAGCTTTTGATACTGCCCTGGTCTGCGTGTGATTTCATGTTTACTGGTTTGTTTTTTCCTTTTTTAGTTGTACGTTTGGCCACAATGTTTTTTTTTGTAAAGGCGCCTTCACCTATTTTAGCTATTCTTCCCATAATGATCACTCACATCGTTAAAATAGTTCCAACAGATGGATCAAGATTGTGCTCACGGATCTGTAAACAAACCTGACCAAAATACAAGAAGTCAGATACGCTTGTATAGAAAACTAGAAAAACATGAGGTTAACTGGATTTTAACTTGTTTTGGCGTTTGATTGATGTGTGGTTTGTGATACTTGACATCTGTAGGCTATTAAAATAATCTGTTGTTTTTATTCTTTCAGCTAAAACCTGAATAGGAAATTATATTACCACGGTATGCAAGAAGACAGAGGAGATTGTCATAAGAAGGAACATATTTCCTCATTAAAGGATTTAGCGTGATATTGTATATTTTTATAATGGTCAACAATCTCATGAATAGACCAAAACCAATTAAGTGTATGTCTGTCTTTCTTCATCTAAATTAATCTCTTTAAACAGCTTGGCACTGTAGTCAATATTTCCAGCACCAGACAGAGCTCTACTACAATGCCTGTATTACCCAGTGCAACAGTTTGGCTCATTGGTCTGTTTTTGACAACAGAAGAAGCATAAGAACAAAGGAAGAAATTATGTTGTGCTTAAATGTATCCGTAATAATACTTTATATTTATAGAATAAGGTCATGGTTACGTTCTTTTCCTAGGATTTAGCTGTCATGAGGAAAATATTGCATATTTCCATAATTGAATATCAAGTTGGTACACACTGTAAACTGATTAAGATGACAGAACAGCATTAGGCTTTATGTGGTTTTTGTGGCTTCTTTGCATTTATTAAAAAATGTACAGGGTAGAGATAAAAGGAAAGGAGGTTGCGAGGTCATAACGCTCTACAAAGATAATTAGGACTATAAGGATTACAATGGCATATTTTTCTTTTATCATTGGTCATATCTTCTTCTTCTTCTTTTCTCTTCCAGTGCTGGACTCAAAGAGCACGACGTCATCATCTCAATCAACGGCCAGAGGATCTCATCAGCGACTGACGTCAGCGCCATCATCAAGAAGGAAAACACACTGAGAGTAGTTGTGCGCCGGGGAAATGAGGACGCTATCCTTACAGTTGTTCCAGTGGAGATCGACCCCTGATCCTCCACAAATCACAGGAGCAGGAGCGAGGTTTTACTTATCGCCAGTGGACCTTATATTGGAGAGGGGCTTCGACTGACACACCCTCTCCCTGGTGCCAAAGGCCAGTGCTGCCACACATCCAGGAAGAAATCTGGCTTTGCCTTGAAAGAAACGACTGTACAGGTGCTCCAGAAGCAGTCCTGTAGTGTGTTCACTTTTAGTCTTTAATGCTTTGATCAATGCTAGTATACTGTTTGGTCACAAACATAACAAATTGGTCAATGGCATACAGTTTTAATGCGTTTTTCTTTTTCATGTTTTGTGTCTTTTTTAAATGGGCTTTTGTTAGGTCAGGCCTTCTACAGCAATTTTAAGCAATCTGAGCAAATCTGGTTTGTATAGTTGTCATTTTTAACTCCTTTTTTAAAGTACTGTAGAATGTTTTTTGTTGAGTTTGCGATGTATACTGCGAAGAAAATAAAGGGTTTTCCTTATTTAGTTTTCAAACACTCTATCTTGGCTTTCTCTTTTTCCTTCCATCTTTCTTTCACAGTCATTTTGGAAATGACTGCACCCAGGCTGACATTACAATATTTTCTTTGTGTGTGTGAGGTTTGCTTAACCATTGCTGGCGCTCATGCTCACAAACACAAAGGGGACATAAAACCAATTGAGATCTGGTTTAAATTCTATTTTATTGCCTTCATATGGGCTTGATAGCTGTGTGGTATGACTGTTAGGCCCGGGGCTGTGCAGGCTGACCTCAGAGACAGGAGCGCGAGCCAAGCACAGATCCGACCCCTCGATGCAGTGGCTCGCATGAATACACTCAATGTTTTGGTAGAGATGTTTGTTTACCACATCGATTTGGATGAAGATAATGATGATGAAGTAGATGTTATAGCTACAGAAACCAGCACACAATAAAGTCTCTGACCATCACTAAATGTGAAATCTAGTGTGGAAACACTGTGCTTTTATTTTTTCTATTTCAACCCATAACTCAAATGAAAAGTCTACCATGCTCCACCATCTACAGGAAGATAAAACTGAACTTCAACAGATTTACAAGAATGTGTTAAAGTCACAGAGGAAGATATTTTGGCATTCAGCAATGCGGTTACCCAGTTTCTGCATTTGAATTTGAGACCATACCTCTAATAACCAGTGGATGTTTATCCTTCACACCCCGTTTTCCATTCCCATACACCACATGGAAGCTACATTACAGATGCTTTCCCATGATGTTGAGCTTCCTACATACACATTATCTGCAGGATCTAGTGGATATTAAAAACATATTTGGACTTGTCATCATATACTGGTCACCGAATGATGGATGTGTACATTTGTGGTCAGAGGCCAAAGGTGCAATTGAAAAAATAATAATGAAATACTGAGAGAAGCGTGACAGAAAGTGGTGCTGCCATCTCATGGTCCTGTATCAGAGTTGCAGTTTCTCTGATTAACCCATCCAACTATGTTGCAAACACATTTGAGACAGATGTTACACACAAAATTAAAGGTCTATGTTTTTTTATTTCACTTGGCATTTGCCTGATTCTGACTCATTTATTCCAACATTCAGGGAGATTACAGCATACATAGCATTGGACTCAGCAGTAGAGTTGGCCTGTTGAATTGAGTAATGACTGCCAAACTGCCATGACCTGCGCTCAAAAATAATCACTCATCGAGGCAAGGCCTTATTACCTCACCACCTCTGAGTGACTCCCTGTCACTTGCGGATGCCAAAAACAATCTATATGTTAAAAACTGACCAAATATGGTGTGTTTTTCTTTCTCTTATCTTTGTCCAAATGTTGCATTATGATGATTAAACATTTGGTCATTTGATTCATTGTGATTGAAGACAGAACTCGTGAATCTTGGGAACAGAAATATGATTATGGATGTGGCTCTTTGCCGTTAATGTCATGATATTACAGTAATATAGAGAACAACTGTGACCCCATGACATAATTAAAACAAATATAGAGCTACACCGTATGAGTTATTTTGTTTTCTTGCCTTCCAATAGAAGTTTGTATCCCTATGTTTTTTAACTGAAACCAGCCATTTCCACAGAGCTGACCCCAGCTGTATCTTTGTAAGGACTATGATTTGAAGTGAATGTTGTGATGTCTGTTCAGGCTGAGTAATGGTCATTTCAGTGTTGATTCAGTTGGGATCACTTTGCCAAGCTGTTCATAACACACTATTTAATTATTTGACACCATCTGCACCCCAGATCAGTGCCAATGTTGGTGATCTATGCGTGATTCCAGCATGCTGCAGGTCTTTGAACATTCAGTCTAGTGAGCACATGGTGATCAAACTTGGCTGCATAAAAAGTCATGTTTTAGTGTGTTTTGATCAAGATAGCAAACATTTGGTAAACACAATGATGTGATTGAAAGTGAATTGAGCATGAAATAGCTTCAGTAAGTAGTAAAACAAGATATTTGTTCTCCTTGGCAGACCCATTCCACCACTAAACGCTGCTCATTCACGATGCACCTGAGGGGTTTGAATGGTTGTTTCACTCAAATGAAAGAAAAACAAACAAATTGTTATTTTTCTTACTTATGTGTTGTGGTGCCCAGCCATGCATAGTTTAGTTTATTTTCCACTGGTTAGAGGTGAATGGAAATGTATTTGTGGACCCAATGATATTAAAAACATTTCCTATAAATCAAAAATTATCAGCAATTTCCAAAACAGTTTTCATTGGAATTGTACCAAATAATCCCCATGAAAACCTTTAATTTGAGTTGAGCAACATGTGTTGCTAAAACAATGATTAGGCCTAATACAGTATACTTTGATTGTATTGCCATCAGAATTTTGGAAACTGAATTTATCATTATGCTAGTCATAAAGTGAATTGGAGTTAATACTATCAATAATGATAATGATGAGTACATTCTTTAAGTATGGGTACAGTGCCAAAACAAAATGAAAAAGGTTTCTTTGAGAGCATCACAAAATTAATAATATACATTTATATCCTTTGACATTTGGTAATGATTAGTCAATGTCTAATCTGTGAATTACATTCAATTACTTTCTTTTAGCATAAGTCAGTAATTACTATAGTGTACATTTCAAATATTTCGCCTATGAAGGTATTTTGTGAAGATTTTCCAATAAGTAACACAACAGTGAACAGAGACATCACTTTTACAAAATCTACATATCAAAGAACAATACATGTTGGGCTAAATAATAGAAACAATCGGCACCATCTGTACCATTTGTATTTGGCACGTCTTCAAGTTTAAATGAACAAAATTGGACATCCAGCGCCCCCTATCGTTTGTTATGGTTTTAATTTTTAACCAATCAGAGTCACGTTTGCTGACGCACAGGAAAACATCCCTGACGCTGATTGGTCCCTCTCTCGTAGCTCACTACACGGGGGTCTTGCCAAGGATCGAGGAGGGAGGGGATATTTTAATGGCCGTCAGTAGCACTACGAAATGCAAAAAGTGTGAATTATCCTCTTTACTTAGACTATACTAGCCACGGGTGCGTTTGGGCATCCTCTCTTTGGTAACGAGCATTGCTTTTGAGACACATTGGTGTTGGAGCCGAGTTTCAAGTGTTGTTTAAACGGACTTTACCCGCTTGATTTGTGAGCGAGTGGGAGATCAGGCCTAGCCGGCTGGCTAACAAACAAGCGGACGTTCAGCTAGTCGCCGGAGTTGAAAGGTAACAGTTTGCTATTATTTTATACTCACGACGATATTTAATATCACTGCAATAAAATGTGTATGTTAAATGTGTTAATTATATTTAAAACACGATATTCCAACATTGGATGCATTCAAGTGCTAAATGTAAACAGAGTACTACCGTTAGCATAGATCAGCAGTGTGGAAGCTAACGGCTAACTGCTAACTTTTGAGTAACTTTACAAGCAGGAGCAGGCCTAGCTACGGTTAGCTGTTGGTGAATTAGCGGTAACTCAACTGTCAGTGTGACCTTAGGTAACGCCAATATGTCAAAGTTTCCCTAAAGTTCATCCAAGGCGTTTTAGTTTCTTAACGTAGTGCACATAATACTACAGTTTATGCTATTTGCAAGCTTTTCTGCATGAGCTAGCGAGCTAGCCAAGCAAACTTAGTGGGCTATCAAACATAGTTTACACCATTTATATGCTAAAGCCAAGTTCATTAATCCAACATTGGCAGTGTAATTGTGGAGCATTTGTTGTTGTAAAAATGGAGTGCAATGCTCCGTGCTGAGGGTTATATGCTATTTAACGTGAACTTGCTTGTCAAACACATTTCCTCCAGCTAGCTTTCGAATGATGTGTTGACTCATCTCTGCTTATATTTACAGGGAATATGTAACATAAAGCAACCGATCATGACATCCAGATTTGGTAAAACGTACAACCGCAAGGGAGGGGAGGCCAACTCGAAATTTGACGAGGTCTTCAACAATAAGAAGCCCACCCTAACCACCAAATGGGGGGAGACCACCTACAAGGCTCAGTTGGGTACCAAAAGGCCTGTTTTAAAACCGGAAGTGTCTGAGCTTTCCAAGAGGCCCAGGCTTGAGGACAGTGACAGTGATGAAGACCCATTTGGATTTGACAGTGATGATGAGTCCAAGACTGTTACCACTCAAAGTGTGTCCCAGTCTGGGGTCAAAGAAGGGTCGCTATCAAATAGCACTACAGTGCAGAGTGGGACTGCCACTGTAGTTTCTTCTGCACAGGGCTCAACATCCTCATTAACAAGTGAGTAATCAATACATAAAGAAGACCAACATAACCAACAACGCATGTGATCGTCTTGATGGTTTATTTACTATAGGGTGCCAACCTGTCATTTCATTATTTACCTACACCTTGTTTATTTGATAGGTTTTTATGTTGTTTTGTCGCTTTTTAAGTAACCACCTGTATCTTTTTTTGTTGTTACCATTCACAGCCAAGCAAACATCTGAAGAGAGGGTTCTTAAAAATAACCAGCCCAGGTTCAAAAGTACATCAGATAGCAACCAAAAGCCTGCATGCAAGGCCTCTTTGGTAAACACAGTCCCGTCTGTTAAACAGAATGTCTCAATGTACCAGAGGCACATCTCCTCCTCTTCTAATGTAGTCACCAATATCAGACTGTCCACTAATGCACCAGGTGGTAGCAGAGACTTCCACACCACTTCCTCTTATGATGAAATGTCTTCGGTAGAAATCCAAAATGCTGAGCTAGAGCCTCCACCAGAACTAGTGGACAACATTCCCCCATCCCCATTTATCCTGAGGGCCTCAAACTGCAAGAAATACCAGCGACCCACCAAGGCTAACAAAACGTCCTCTGAACCGGCTGAGAACAACAGCATCCAGCCCACTGAAACAGCGAACGCCCAAGATAAACCCAACAGTGTCCTTTCTGCTAACGCAAGTGTTCCTGCTGCCAAAGCTAAAACGGCAGCCAAGCCCGCAGGCAGGGGCGGCGGGAGGGTACGGGACTACACGGTCCTGCACCCTTCCTGTCTGTCGGTGTGCAACGTCACCATCCAGGACTCAATTGAGCGGAGCATCGATGAGCTAGTCACCCCAGCTGCCCCTGCTGACCTGGGAGACTCAGGCCAGATGAAGAAGAAATCCGACGTTCCCCCGATCAAACCCACCAGGTAAGTCATTTCAATATATGTATCTTAATGCCGTCGATGTACGGAATGTCACTACGAAGCTGTCTTTAAAACTACTTGTATCAAACACACGCTGACACTATGACATGAAAAGATTATGCATGTTCCTTCAACTCACTGTGTTAACATAATCAGATCCTATAGCTTTGACATATTGCACCCATCACCATTGGTTTATTAAGATGTACGTCTTTTAAGATTAGAAAAATAACTATTAATAATAAGTAATTTGATAGTATAGGTCAGCTCTTTGGAGAGACTGCCAATGTAAGCGTAATATGTCTCGTTATGCATCATGCTCAAGTGGTTTCTCAACAGTAATATGGTTTCCTAACAGGGAACTATTCTTGACATTTTAAAAGGTTTTATATTTCGAAGTTGTGCCAAAGTGTGGACCCCTACTTTTGTTTTCTTTGTATTAGTTTAGCTTGAATGTTTTCTTTTTGTTATGTTTGTCCTGCTCCAGTTTCCTCTTCACATTTTTTCCGCTTGGTTTTATTTCTCTTTTAATTCTGCTTTTGTTGTTAATATTCCTTTTATTGTTTTGTTTCTGTTTTATGAATTGTGCATGATTTCACGCTGTGTGTTCTCATGCATTTTTATCTTTGACTGTGAAGCACTTTGGAACCGCTTTTTGCAGTGCAATATATAAAGTGCTAAATAAATACATGTTTCTAACCTACTTAACGAATCCTCTCATTGCATCTTTCCAGGTTCAGACCCACCCAGACAAAGACCAAGAAGACAAAGGCTGAGACCAAGCTAGAGTTCTTTGGCTTTGAGGACAAAGAGGAGCAGGGGGGCGAGGAGGGTCCTGAAGCTGGGAAGAGTAACTACAAGATCAAGTACTTTGGCTTTGACGACTTGAGCGAGAGTGACAGCGATGATGAGGAGTCTATCCGCAAAGAGAAGAAGGCCAAGAAGGCGGCTGCAGCCTTAGCGGCTCTGAGCTCCAGCGTGGACAGCCCGCACACCAGCGACTCTCAGGACAGCCAGGCCAGCAGCAACACAGGTGAGCTCATCCCTCTTTTATTGTTGATGTCACTACTCTCACTAGCTGAAGAATCAATGCCTCTGCTGTTTTGGTGATATTTTGATCAAGATGTTTGTAGACTTTTATTTTCAAAACTTAACTAAAAGCTTAACATTTTCAATCCTGGTTTATCCAACAGAAGCTTTTGACTTGTCTGAAGACTCTGGCGCCGAGGGACAAAAAGGACGACCAGGGAAGGCAGGCGAAAAATCCAAGGATAATGCAAGTGGACTAAAAAAGATCTTCAGTGGACCCAAAAAGGTATATGAGCTTCCTGGAAATATTTTTCTTTCCCTTCCTGATTTTCATAACCTGCCTTCATGACCTTCACCATGGCCAGGCTTGATCTAGCTTGTGAAGCTGATTAGCTTAATATTTAAGTGACATTAACATAACTCTGCTTGGATTTGGTGTATCGTATACCCCTACTGCTGTGCTTATCTAAATCACGTTTGACAATGGCTTTAGGTTATTTATCTGTTTTTCGAATTCTTTGTGTTTCACTACTACTGTAATCTTTAGAATATATAATTGAGTTGCACAATGCGTCATTTTCAGGAAATGTTTCTTACCGCTTTGGGAGTGCTACACACTGAGGCTGCTGTCGTCTCAGTCTATCATCGTGATGAAGCATGCAATATTTATGTCTTCAATTGAGCCAATGCACAACAATAACTTAAAGTGCACCTGTCATGCTATTTTTAAGCAATAGCATAGGTCTCAGATATATAAAAAACATGTCTATGAAGTGTTTTGCTCAAAATACCAAACAGATCACCCATTCTAGCCATGCCTCATATCCCTCTATTTCACTTACTGTTTCAAAAGTGCTAATTTGGGTTATAAAGCTTTAAAAAAATAAAATAATTGATAATGATAAAAAAAGGAGGGGGCTGAGCTCATGCGGGACCCGGCAGCTACTGTCTAAACTAAATACTGCCGTGATGAAACGCCATATCATGGATTATCAAGGATTATTTCTGAAACAGTATGGAGCTCAAAGGCTTTCTCTCTTGCCGGTTATACCACAAGGTGAGTTCCTTTTTATTTCCTGCTTCTTCACACACATGCTCTCCAGTACAGGTTAGCTCTGAGTGTTAACGATGCTAATGTAAACATGCACCGACCATATTACGTCCAAAACAGTCGGGCATTGTTTCTGTAGGCAACGTTTCTGAAAGTGCCGTGGGTCCACATTTCCGATATTACGTCATATCGGACGCAAATCTGGATCAGCTCCATTGTAGAAAAAAAAGAGAGAGGGTTTTATTTTCTGACGCTGCGTGAGTTCCCCGACACACCGGGGACACATTTATGTATAAAAGGCATCAAAAAGTGCATTTTGCATGATAGGTCCCCTTTAAGCTTTGTGCTAGAACTTCTCTATGCTGCTTCACATTTCTCTACATTGTCTTTGTTCCCGTTTTGATTGCATGCATTTGGTAATTTGAGCTTTTGGTGTCCCTTAGATAACTACCAAATCTCAATTTTTTTCTGGGTTCCAGTCACCGGCTAAGGCCGTGTACAACGCTCGCCACTGGAACCAACCTGAACCTGAGGAGGTGCCTGTGCCCCCACTGTCCCGTGCTCAAACTGCTCCGGTAAGATATCGCTATTTAATGGTTATTGAATTGAGTTTTGCTTTATTGTGTTGTTCTCTAGGCCCATTAAAGGCGTCTCTCAGTGTGTGGAAAGGGAGAATTAATGATGTTTAAGTTCTCATCTGAAATCTAGGCATTTGTTTTACAAACAAAGCAGGCTAACAATATTAAGAGTATTTATGTGAAACAAATGCTCATAACTCGCACCATTTGTTTATATTGTTTTATTATAATTCTCCGTTATTGTCTACAACCCGAGAGATTGTTTAATGGTGTCTTAGTTGTCAACAGTTTTGTTTAATTGCTCTAATTGGTCTCCTTCTGTTCATATATTTCCCCAGACAAGTAAACCTGGTTTATTTGTATTTGCTGCGTTAATTCTCCCCCACCTCTCACTGAAACAAATGTTGGAAGAACTCATTCCAGTCTGGAAAATGGGATTTTAATATATCTTTTTTGACTTTGCACTACCTCACCTGTCATCCGTTAACACTTATTAAAGACATGTGTGCTTAGCAGACCGTTCAGATGGGGTAAATCTGGCAGACATGTCGTTAAACGCATTTTGTTACTTTGGTATGAGCCCGCTTTCTCCGCCTCTGTTCTTCCTCAGGCTATTTTATCGAGCAGCAGCAAGGACAGCAACTCCCATAAAGATGATGGCTTGTTCAAAGCCCCCCCACCTCCGCCTAAAGTCATTAAGTCGGAGACCCTCCCCACGCGACTCAACCAGGATATTGTAACTGCGCTCAAATGCAGGAAGGAGCACAAGGAGGTGAGTCCGTAGCAAACAGATGTTTTTTTGAGGAAAAGCAGATTAAAGGCATTTTTTATTCAGTTTTTACTACATTTATTTGCATGCTGCTATGATTTTGAATATATTTTTCATTCTTTACCAAGCTCCTTACACCATTTGATGCAGGTTATGCAGTACATACATATATTAATTAGATGTTTATCAGGCTCAAAGATGTTTCATTGAACCCTTTTGTCATTTGGAGGTAGAAATGAGCACTGTGGCTGTTAGTTTAAACTCTCCTGCAGCTCGTGTCATTTACAGATGGGCCTTCTGGCTCCAGTTCAAGCTGTTAATCAGAGATCCCCTGCAGTAAAATGGATTCAGCTAAGCTGTCGCCACACACTGAGGTTATCTTAAACCCGGGTGCTTCCTCGTGGGTTTTGCTGAGTGCACACAAATAACGACTGTTGACACTGGTAAACATACAGAGGCAACTGCTGATCAGGCCCCAACTCCACATGCTGAGCTTTTATTGATGAGGGGTATTAGCACAGTCAGCTATTGCTTTAAATGGAACCAATGGTGAGGAATTTAACAATAAGAGAGCGCGCTCACTGGGTGTGTGTGTTTATGTGTGAGTTGATTGTGAATCTGGACAGATGCACTGCTTCCCAATTAGCTGTAATTAACCCCACTCCCCTTCCACCAGCTGTACACGGTGGTGCAGCATGTGAAGCACTTCAATGACGTGGTGGAGTTTGGAGAAAATCAAGAGTTCACTGATGATTTTGAGTACCTGGAGACGGGGCTTAAGAGCAGTCAGCCACTCAACACCAGATGCCTTAGGTAAGTGGAGTAAAATACTAAATGCTGCCTTTTTGTGCAGTTCTACAGAATAGCACTTGGATGCTCTAAGACTGCTCCGACATAGATGACCTTCTCTGGTAGCTCGTACTAACTTGTGAGTGCCAAGTACCTCACTGAGTTGTTTTGAGTGGTTTAAGCACCTGACATCTGTCACCTAGTATAAGCATAGCCTATTTACAAAGCTATTCCATGATCAGGTGCTTAAGTTGATCAAAGCTTTGAAATTTGACACCTAAATAAATAAATAAAAATTCTCCTTTAAAAGCACAGCAGGACCTGGAGATACAAAGTAAATGTGTTTCTAGAGACCACAGTCTTGTTCATATGCTGTATACGAACAGTGAAGACCATTTTTTTATATAATGGTCTTTTATTTATCAAATGTTTTCGTTATCACATAATGAGCCCTATAGAGGCAGTTTATGAACCTATATTTAGTTTCGTCTTTGCCCTTTACTGTTTATGAATCTCAATGGTTTTAATTTTATTATTATATGCTGAGATAAAACTCTTGTTTTTCTGCAGTATCATAAAGTGCACAGCCGGTCTGTTAAGAAAATAAAATCTGTTCAGGAGAGACAACCTTGACTTCAGAAAAAGCTGCATAAACTCATGCATACTTCAGGGCTTCAGTCTTTACACATGCAGAGAGAGGAGGATAGGGGGAACATGTAGCAGAAAGAAATCACAAATGGTGATATTCATTGATGAAGTAGGCTGTGCCACATTTTGTCTCATCCATTTGAGTTTCTGAGGACTAACCCGACATTTCTGCACCCCTTCCTCTCTCTCTCTCTCTCTCTCCCGCTGGTCCTCTTCCTCTCTCTGCAGTATAATCAGCCTGGCCACGCGCTGTGCCATGCCCGGTTTCAGGATGCACCTGCGGGCCAGAGGGAAAGTGGCTGAAGTCTTCAATATGCTCAGTGATGCTCCACAACACCCGGTCAGTAACACTCTGCAGTCACTTACTGCCTCAATTTCAATTTGTTATCTGCCTTGCAAAAATGTTTGTAAAGAAGTGAGAAATGGAAAGGTGTTTGCCATGTTGGATTGATTACTGCTTCTGTTGTTTACTCGTGTCCTTGGTGGAAATGATTTCTGCTAAGGTTCACTTCCAAAGCTATGAATCAGGGTGTTTTATGGGAGATGACAGGGTGACAGTGATCCCTACCTAATGCACTCAGCTGCAACTAAAATAACTTCCTCCACCCCCTTTCTAATAAGGGGGCTCTGAGTTTTGAAGATACTTTTCTGATTCAGTAACTCAAGCATTTTTTGTCTGAAAAATTGTGTCTGTTACGTTTTACAAATTCACTTAAATATATAGTTATATTGTTCCATATATCAGTGATGCAAATTAGTCGCTTTTCGGCGCCTCCCACTTTTTTAACGCTGATTTGGGTGACTTGTGTAATTCGTGGAGAACCGAAGAGTTTTCGTTTTTGGGGGGGGGTCAGTCAGTCCGACTGACGGACGGACGGACGGACGGACAACTTCTTCTCATTTCAAAAAAGAAGAAGAAATCTAGATCGCAAAATAATTAAACAAGCGAGTACCTGTTTTTCCTGGCCAATGACAGGTTCCTTGAACACAACACGAGCGTTACGTGTCTTCTCGTCTGAAAGGAGTGCTGACGGAGAGCACCGGAACGCCGCTCCAGCTCTTCAGATATTGCAGTACCCATAAGGAGCCGTACACACCGCAGTGTTTGCGTGGCTGTGTCTTTAGTTGTAAGCACAGTGGCGATCTGTTGTTGTTAGCATCTGGTTAGCTAGCTATGCTAACGAACATAAAGAGCTTTTCTACAACCAGGTGGAAGAGAGCTCTCTCCTGAGAGGCTCAAATAACCTCAGCTCAGTGAGGTTAAGGCACACCTTGATATGATCATTATAATTATTAATGAGACATTAGAGACTAAATGAAAAACAGGTATAAAATACTATATGACAGTAACAAAAAAGTGGTTAAAAATAACAAGAGTAGAGTTTGAAAGGGGAGTGATTTGTAAAATATCCAAAAAGAAAAATCTGTCATTGTCTCATGGTATATTACGCTGTTTTTTTCCTGCTTCGAATAGTTCTCTCTTTTTTCACCATACCTTTGTTTGCATCACTGACATAGGGAATAACCCCCATACGTATTCCTATCTTTATTCAAGAGCGTGGTCTTT